AAACATGTTAATTTGTTCTGGGAATTTGAAACCACCACATGGAGCTACACAGATATTTTTAAAACACTGTTGTAAAATTTTCACTTTAACTTATGTGCAGCAAATCTGAGAGAAGCAGAGATACTCACAGAGAGGAAAGTAGTCTGCAACCTAATCAGTCTCTGACAATTTAGTAGGAGATGCAAAAAATACACTGCCAGGGAAAAATGGATCACAATAAAGCAAATGAGCTGATACTTCCTGTGTCTGTAATAATCATCCTGAAGAATCTATACAGAATGTTATATTATTATTACAGAATATATTATTATTATTATTATTATTATTATTATTGTTATTGTTATTGTTATTGTTATTATTATTATTATTATTATATTGTGAAGTCAAGAGGCTTAACAATACAAATAGAACAACCAAATCTGTGCCCAGATCTAATTTACACAGGTCATACACAAGTATGATGAGGAACATGACCAGGAGGCCACATAAGGAAGCCATATAAGGAAAATGACCATTTAAAATGACCATTTTTTATTAAAATACAACAGAAAGAATAGAAAAAGCATTAAGATTTTCCTTCTAGGAACATAAACTGCTGTGTTGTTTTGAAGATTTAATTCTATATAATTATCAAATTAAAGATTAGCTTTTGGAACATTTGTTTGTGATGTCTGTTACCTGGTAATCACTTTTGAAAACAAATCCATTGTGTGTTCAGACAAGTTAATTCCTAAAGGCTGAAGGATGAAAGAAAGGTGGTCAGAGAATACTTGGTCAGAGAATTTTGTTCATACTGCTAAAATATATATAAGCTATTTCAACCTATAGTAATAGTTATTATTCTAATGAAGATCTATCAGAAAAGTTTTAAACTACCTGTGGAATTTCAACAGTTAGAGCTAAATTTACTACAGAGAAAAGTTATGGTGTGCTGGAAAAGGTTCTTAATCAAAAATATAATGATATAGCATATGTAGGATACATCTTTTGTAAGTGTAGGAGGACAGCAGTTAACTTCAAAGGTTTAACAAATATTTCCTGTGATCTTCCTGTCTAATCAGTTGAATTTTAGCAGCCATTTTAGCAGCCTTTTCTCCCAGTAACTATAGGTCTTACTTTTCGCTTGTTTTGGATAGTATTCCTAATGAGATTGTTTATCTTGACCATTTCAAATTTACATGAAAATTTTACCCATTTTCTGAAATTTCCTAGGAGAACCAGCTTGTTGCTTGCTAATTTTCATGCTTTAGGAGAAAAATCTTGGACTATGTCCTGGAGACTCGAGTACATTGTCCTTATAAATTTAAGGCTGGTACAGAGAATTTAATCTTTCTATCCAGGATGTAGAACCAAATCTCGAGTAGTTTCAAGCCTCTAAACCTGTCTACGACATACATTTTAGAAGCATATTCAGCCTTGTTTGAGATTTGCATTAGCTGTATCAACATATCTCTAGATAACTCTTTCTAACTATTGTTTGTATTGAAATCTAATCTTCCTGGTTTCAGATTTCAACCACTAGATCCTCTCTCATCTTGCACTGGAAGTTAAGTCTAAATTCACTTCCTTACATTTCCTTCTGTGGACTAGTACTGAGGCACATTTATTTATTGATTGATAGTACAGACTTTGAGCTTCACAGTATTGCTACAAGTTGCCCAAACTTTTTGTTTATTTGTTTTTAGTGTTCTTTCATGGCCATCATCTAAAACTCTTGCCAATTCATTAATGATTTACTGAGAAAATACCTGAGCTGCACACAAGTTCTTTCATTTCAATGAATGCCATTAGTGAGAGTCTCTTTTCTCATATCTGATATTTTCTTGCTTCCGTATCCTAGGATTATGCTCACCCTGTTAGTTACAGCATTTCACTCTTCATTTCATTATCTCTCTTGACCCTTAAATCTCTTTCAATGTTACTGCAATCCAGTAACATTTCTTCTCATAAATATGACCTACATTCTTATTTTCTAGTGCCTGAACCTGTATTTGGTTACATTACAGCATCAAAGGAACATACAAAGGAATCCACATTTTAGAACAACAGCTTGTCCCATCATTATTTAACATTCCACACACTTCTGTGACATTTGTTAATTTTTAACAGCATCTGAAAGCTTTTTAGTTTCTTTGTCAATATTGCTAATGATATTTACTGTTCTAAACCAAGAATCGATCCAAGATACCAGTAGGAAAAACATCCTTTGTGGATGGTTATTTCTTGTGTACATTAACTTTTGTAATCTACCAGTGAAGTAGTTCTTAAACCGTTTAACTTGATTTTTATATATATTTCTATTCATCTTACATGCACAGATAATGATGTTCAAATTTTGTTCTAATTTTTTCAAATTACTTCTTATTAAATACAGTGTTTTTGCTTATTGTTTTTCAGTTACAAGAAAAATATTCACTTATCATTTTGAACCAAGAGATTCACTATATTTTTCACCTTTTTAACTGTTTTCAGATTCTTTTGGTAATATTCTCTCACAGACTAACCATTATTTACATGCACTAAGGATGTCTTTTTCTTTCTTCTTTTTTTACTCTTAGACTTGGTTGCATTTTACAATTTGGTTTTAGCATAGCTCCAAAATCTGCAGAATAAGCTGATTTATTCATCATTTCTTAAGGGCACCATGTTGCTTATTTTCTACAATACAATGAACAAAGACAAGCCAGTGTTTCTCTAAATATGACCATCTTAAAAATATGAAAACTGATTATTTCCAACATCTCAGCCTCTTGTATGCATGTATGTTTCAACAGAACGGAATTAAAGGGAAAAGCTTTTTTCCTTTTTGGCAAGGGGATATACAGTTCTGCAGAGTGTCAAATTTTCATAATTATCTTTTTGACTTAGACCTTGACTCCTTGACTACACCAGGTGTTCCAGTTTTAGAGGAGGGGCACAATGTGTGTTAATATTTCCATATAAAATATGAGAAAATGGGAAAATTTTCATTAATCACTTCTGTAAAAATGTGACCCTCTTCAGAAGCAGTCTCCATTCAGGGCTGGGAAAGCAACACCCTTATTCCAGTCAATGTTTTCTTTTCAGAATGATTTCTGAGTGCCTTTATGGTCAGAAAAAATAGCCATGTCTACTCCTACTCTTTTAGTGGGTGTCTGGATGAAGCTGTACTTCATATTCAGGATGGGGACACAAAGATTAATCATACTTTTTTTTTATAATTATTATTTCATTTTTCCTTACAGTGAAATATAGTGGGTTTTGTTGTTGTTGTTTTCAGGAAAAATAGTACCGGAGATAAAGATAGCATTGTTATGAAGGGTGTTTTAGTTACAGGTTGTAAAGTGAGGTAATGAATATTAGATAATGTACCAATTATGAGATAAGAAAGATGTAGCTTACAGGGATTTTACTTTTCATAGAATCTGTCCACATTGGCCCCTCTCCCCCCCCACCCCCCAGCATTTACCAAAGTATCCCATACATTTGCCAAAGTATTAAAAAGTCAGACAGCAAATATGTAAACTAAAATAAATCATCTGGGGAAAGAGAGCAAAATATTTTTTTCTCTAGTGTGGCATATCACTTGACTGTACAACTACGAAGTGTCTGACTAAGTTAAAAGAGAAAATATACATAAGTCAGAAAAATTCTTTGTCACATTATAAATGCATATCATGTTGTCTTGCCTTTCAAAAGAGATGTGAGACTCTCCATTGCCATTCCACATAAAATATGGTTACACTGGATTATTTAGCTTTGGAGATATTTCATCAACAAGAAAGGTATTTTGAGACAGAGAGACAGAATAACCAATCGAATTGATGCACATTTACTATTTCATTTGTTACACACATAAATCACAGATTCAAAGGAAAAATGAAGTTCAGTCCATGCTTTTCTCTGAGCTTTAAGCACAGAATCCTCAGTGTAACACCTTGTGGTCAATGAAAAAGCTTAGCCATTATTCCTTTGTGCCAGACTCAGTTCTTTCTGAACCCATATATCCTAGTGTTTAAAAAAAAAAAAAAAAGAGAACATTAGTTACAGCACAGTTCTGTACTTAAGGAGGAACAGTTTTCCCTTTTGTAAGTGTTACCTCACTTTCTTTTGAGGGTGTTGTTTTTATTAGGACATGATAGCAATAAAGAAATAAATTGTAAGCATTTATCATCTAAGCATTGCATTTATTGATTTTCTCATATACAGTGCTTTGGGTACATAGTGATATATGTTAGTACCAATGAAAAACGAAAGGTTATAACAGCTCACTGACTGGCTCATCCCCCAAGAGAGCAAGAAACCTTGGTAATAAAGTGCCCAAGTTGGGTGTTATCCATTTATTGTGTTTTAAATGCACTCTTTGAACCCTAAATAATGCTGAGGGAGGATTTCATCTCCTGGTGTAGTCCCACTGAAGTTAGTGGAATTGCACCAATTCAATTTGTCTTGCTGTGCTTGTGCATTTCTGCCTGTACCTGTCATAATTTATTGTTTGACTTCCTTCGGTAACAATGAAGTATGTTGGCATCATAATCCAAATTAAAGAGTACATCGTCAAAAAACATATCAAAGGCCATATAAATAAGGATTCACTGGTCTTCTTCAGCCACAAAGGGAAAGCAGTCTCTATCCATTTATTACCTTCAGACTAAGTCTAAAAACACTTGTTTTTTCCCATTGCAATGGGTAGATGGAAAGTTCCCAGCCACTCTATCTGTGACCTTTTTTTCCTTGAGCAATTTCTGTAAATATCAGGCAAAACCCTGGCCAGGAGGTTTCCCATGTGAAGGGAATGAAGGGTCGGAAATGTCATGGCATGGAAGAAATTGGCAGAACTGTGTTTTTATACATGGTCTGTTCTGAAAGTAGTAGGACTGGCTTTTGCCTGGGTGAACGGGCAGACGAGAGGCAGTGGAGGGGGATATTGGGAACACTGGGAAAAATCGGCTGTCGGCCATTGAAGAGAGCAGGTTGCTTGTACTGTGAACACCTGTCGAAATGCCTTGTCACGGAGAATCATGGAGCGTTTACTGAAGCAGCGATATGAGATCAAATTTTGTGTAAAGCTTGGTAAAATGGACAAAGAGACTCACGATGTGATTAAGGAGGCCTACGGTGATGCTGCCATGGGTAGATCAGGTGTTTTTGAGTGGCACAAACTGTTCCGAGAAGGTAGGGAAAGAGTGGAAGACGACGACCGCTCCGGATGCCCTTCAACCATCAAGACCAACGAAAATGTGTCGCGAGTGAAAAATTTACTGAACCGTGATCGCAGAATGAGTATCAGAATGATTGCTTATGACTTGAGCATTCCTCAAACCCAAGTTTTTGAGATGGTGAAAGAAAACTTAGCCATGAGGAAAGTATGCACAAAGTTTTTGCCGTGAGTGTTGTCAGAGGAGCAAAAGGCCAACTGGAAAGCGATCTGCCAGGATCTTCTTCATCATGTGAATGAGGAGCCCAACTTTTTGGACAATGTAGTGACCGGTGACGAGATGTGGGTGTTTGAATACGACCCGGAGAGTAAGCGGCAGAGCACAGAATGACACACCCCTGCTTCCCCACGCCCCAAGAAAGCACGAATGAGCAAATACAAGCAAAAGTCCATGCTCATTTGTTTTTTTGATCGACATGGAGTCATCCACAAAGAGTTTTTACCACCCGGACAAACAGTTAATGCACTTTTTTACGTGGAAGTCCTCACAAGACTGTGAAAACGCATTGCTTGTGTCCGCCCAGCCATCGTCAACAATTGGCGGCTGCACCATGACAATGCACCGAGCCACACAGCGTTCCGCGTAGTGGAGTATCTTGCCCATCACAAGGTGGCAACACTGCCTCAGCCCCCCGACAACCCCAACTTGGCCCTGCCAGACTTTTTTCTATTCCCGAGAATAAAATCGACGCTCAAGGGGAAGCATCACACATCAGTAGAGGCGCTTCAAGAAGCTGTGATGAGGGAGCTAAACAGCATTCCGGTCCAGGAGTTTCTGGAGGCATACGGAAACTGGAAAACTCATTGTCAGCAATGTGTAGATGTGGAAGGGTGCTACTTCGAAAAATTCTAATCATTTGTTCTATTCTCATGAATATTTTTTTTTTTTTTTTAAATGAGTCCTACTACTGTCAGAACAGACCTTGTATGTAGAATTACACTGTTATAACAGAAATAGTAGGGATTTTTTCAGCCTGTTCTTCATGACCTTTTGTGCTCCAATAAGCATATCACCACACCTGAATTTTCTAATCCTCCCCCTTAGGAAGCATTGTTTCACACTTTCTTTAGTATACTCCACAGACAAAATGTTCCCCCATAAAATTTATACATGGTGGGTATGGAGCAACACTGCATACTCCCAGAAAGTCCTTGAGTGACAGTTTATCTCTCTGTTGCCACTGAGTATGTGTATATGTATGTATGTACATGGAGGACATCACTGTGATGTCATTGTTTAGAAGATGGATAAAGCAGGCCAGGTGTAAACTTTAGTAAATTCATTCATTAATAGTACACTGCTTGGAATTTCTTACACATCATTGTACTGGGTCTGGCTGGAATGTTAACTTTCCCGGCAGCAGCCCATACAGTGCCGTACTCTGTACTTGTAGCTGGAACAGCAGTGTTATCACACCAGTGTTGTGTCTGCTGCTGAGCAGCAGTGGCACAGTATTAGGCCTTTCTCTAACCCTCCTAGGGGGTGGGCAAAAAGTTAGGAGAGAAACATCACTAGGGCAGCTGACCTAAACCAACCAAAGGGATATTCCATACCATGTGATGTCACACTCAGCAATAAAAGGTGGAAACAGGAAGAAGAGGGGAGGGGTGGGCTCTCGTTGAGAAGACGTCGGTCCTCCTCTCAAACACCGGCTGCGTGCGTTGAGGTCTTGCTTCAAGGATGTGGTCAATCATCGCTCATTTGTGGGAAGCAGAGAGTAATTTCTTTCCTCTGCACTTCCATATAGCTTTCATTTATTTTGTTTGTTTGTTTTCCTCCCTTCTTTTTATTTTTCCTTTTCCCCTCCCTTTTCCCCTTTCCCTTTTTATTTCCCCTTAGTTAAATTGTTTAGTTCATGGTAGTCTTTATTTAATTATTATAATTATTTCCCTTTAATTAAATTATCCTTATCTCAACCCGTGAGTTGTTCTTTGCTTTACTTCTCCCCCTCCTCATCTTAAGTAGGGGGAATGAGAGAGTGGTTGTGGGGTTTAGCTGCCCAGCACGGTAAAACCACCACAATCATTAATCTTCATCACCACACATACAGACAGTTCAATGTAATGTGTTCTAAAATAGGTGTGAGTATACAGAGCTGATGATGTTTAGTCATGGCTGTGGGCCTTGGTGGTCCTAAGTCACCAGTTTTCCTCACTTAGGTCTGATGTTTTTAAGCAGTTATCCACCCCACCCCTAAAAAATAAATAAAGAAATTCCTCTTATTCTCTTGATATTGCTTACTTCCTTTTCTTTTGTCTATCCTTCTTGAGTATTCATCAGGATGCCTACCCATTTGCATTGCTGTGTGCTCACCTTTTCCTCTGGAAGTTTTTGTTGCTTGAATGCTTTCTACCCTATACTAATCTTCATTTTCCCCAGTAGCACTCACATTGCTCACATACACGTGTAAAATTCCATTCACAGGGTTATAAAACTCCTCTATATGGTTTTTAACTATTTTAACATGCTTATATTCATGTTCAAAACAAGCTAATATTAATTATATCCTCATTGATGCACTTTTATGGGTGTCACAGCCTTTTGTTTTGACTGTATCTCAGTGAAAGTGGGTATTTACCATGTAATGATTGCATACTGCATGTCTGTGCCATAGCTTGCTTCAGTTCTGTACAAAAGCATGAGGGATGTTGGTGGTGAAAAGAAAACATATTTTAACTTCATATAGAGATAAGTAATGCCGATTAATTATCCAGTCATATCTGTTTGTTTGTTTCCCTTAAAATGACATTTAAGCCAAAACAAGTTAAATCATGACTTTTCTGGTGTGCAGGTTGACAGTGCCATTCCAGATGAACCTTCCTCAGACAGCTATAGTAAAAAATCTACAGAACTGGTGGAAAAATAACAACAAAAGCAGACTTAAAATTTCTGCATTTTCTGGCACATTTTTCTATAGCATGCAAAGCTAAATGATAGGAAAATGGAGACAGAAAACATAAATGTAGGTTAGCAGAATACACACAGTTTGCTGTCATTGAGGTGAACTGGCATTTCTCAATAGTTGTTATCCTGTCATCCACTTAGATTTTCCTTACCTCTATCAAATAGTATACACTTCATCACCTTTGCAATTCATCTAGCTGTAAGCAAGTTTACCAGAAGGTATGGTTATTTCCTATCTTCATATTTTTCATCAGAAAGAATGAGCAAACCCATCTGGATAAGTATCGCTGCCCCTCCAGATGCCATAAGAAGGCCTTGATTTACCAGTGATACTAAACATTTGGTCCCTCCTCTTAACTTGTATTAACTAAAGCAGCTGATGTGGCAAAAAAAAAAACAACCAGCATTCAGATCCAAGCTTTTTCCTGTATTTCTGTTAAATTAATTTCATAAATATACATTTGTATATGTATATATATTTGTATTTGTGTGCTTTTGCTCTCCTTGATTACATCCTGAACAAGGAAAGACAGCCAGCTTTTCACTTCAGAGAAACCATCGGTGTTTCATAGATGAATGACATCAGTCAAAGACCTGTCACTAAAACATCTTCACTGAGATTTAGCTACAATAATGAGCTTATTTTGAAGGATTCTTAGGCATTATAACACAAGGACTACACTGCTCTCCTCTTCTATTTAAACCAATGTTGTGTTTGTTACAGGTAGACATTTGCATGTATGCATACACAAAATATATTGAGATATAATAATATAAATTCCCAATGAATCCAGCAGAATTTGTATGGTGAGGCAAGAGAGAAAATGTTCATTTAGACTGAAAAGACAGTAGGCTGAATAACCCCTTAAACATCTAAACACAGGTCAGATTTCCCTAACCTAAGGCAGCATTCGAAGCTTTGCAGATATCCTGTGTTTCCATAAGATTTTCTACTGTTCTCTCAAAATAAAGAAGGGCTTGCTAAACAAAAAGGAAGAAATCTCTTGGAAATGTTCATGCTTTTTCTTAGCTTTGTTTGAATAGCACCTAATTGCTAATGCTGATTCACTATAGATTTGTTTCTAGTGGCAGGGCAAATACTATCTCATTTGTGCATGGACACAATTTGCTTTGTCACTAATGTAAACTTTATTCTGCAGTCTTGAGGGAAAATTCTCATTTTAACAAAAATCTAGAAGATCTATTTAAATATTAGTTTTCACATAAAACTCTTTTTGAAAGATACATTTACTAATGGGAATTGTGAAAAAATAGCTTGCAATAAAACCTGGGGAAAACAGAAAAAGTCTTTTCAAGAGGAGACAGAGAAAATAGAAAATACATCATGGAAAAAAAGACTTAAGTTTTGTAGCTGGAACTATGTATAGACATTATCCAAAACTAATAATACCAGATAAAGTGAATAACATTCTGGCCCAGTAGATTATTGTCCTGGTTTTGGCTAGGATAGAGTTAATTTTCCTCCTAGTAGTTGGTAGGGTGCTGTATTTGGGACTTAGGATGAGAATAATGTTGATAACACACTGATGTTTTAATTGCTGCAGAACAGTGCTTACACTAAGCCAAGGACTTTTCAGCTTCTCACTCTGTCCTGCCAGTGGGCAGTCTGGGGGTGCAGGAGGAGCCGGGAGGGGACAGATCCAGGACAGATGACCCAAACTGGCCAAAGGGATATTCCATACCATATGGCATCATGATTAAAAATTAATATGGGGTGGCTACCCAGGGTGAGGGAACCAGCTGCTTGGGGATAGGCTGGGTGTTGGTCAACGGATGGTGAGCACTTGCATTGTGCATCACTTGTTTCATACACATTATTGTTATTAATTGTTATTATTATTTTATTTTCTGACCTATTAAACTGTATTTATTTCAACCCAAACACTTTCACTTTTTTTCCGATTCTCTTCCCCATCCCACAGAGGGAGGGGGAAGGGTGAGTGAAAGGCTGTGTGGTGCTTAGCTGTCAGCCAGCTTAAACCCCAACATTTTTTTTTTAATCAATTTGTTTTCAACTTCATTTTTAAGTAAGGTGAGCTACTAGTAAGAGCAAAAGTGGACCGGATAATGCAGTTCAGATTTACAGATGAAACAATATGCATGCCCACAAGGTATGAGGTATTATGCCAGTTTAGTTAATTACTTTCTTTGTCTTTGCAAGTCATAGTTTTGGGACACAGAATCTGTCAATCGAAATGTTACTGTTGATGGTCAAAAGTCTGATACTTGATGTACCAATGGTAGTT